AGACAAAAATTTTTAATTTTGCATTTTTGAAACTCCTTTTCTGGCCCTGTGACCTACTTATGCAACAGACCGAAACCATTTGATCAACTTTGGCAGGGGACCACCCTAGGATCATTCCTGTAAAGTTTGGTTGCTGTGCAGTCATTTGTTTCTGAGGAGATGTTGTTTAAAGAAATTGCTGACGACGCACGACGACGGACGGTGGGGGATCACAATAGCTCACCTAGATGTAAAAACATCTTAATCTCCAGACTTCATTGCCATTTTCAAGGCATCAAGAAGGGATCTCACAATTTTCAAATATTTTTAAATGTTATTGTAACAAATCATTTTAATTCTTCTTTAATAAAAACTAGAAATGTGTCCATAGGACACGGGTGCCCCCACCGCGCCACTGTTCTGTCAATCTTATGACTCTAGGTCAAATATGTTTTGAAAACTAAAAATCTTTTTACTTAGTAAAGGGCAAGAACTTTACAAATACTGAATAAATCCCCAAGCAAACCCCAAGTTGAAAATTGAAAATTTATACTACTGTAATTCAAAGGCAATAACTCTAACAAAACTGAAAAAAATCCACATGCAAAGTCCCAGGTTCATAGCTTCACAGTGAGGTGAATCATTATTCCTGTAATTTAGTGATGTTGATCATTATTCCTGTAAAGTTGGTCGATTCTAACTCAAGCACTCAAGGATCAAATACCAACATAATGAAACAGTTTTTACTAAGTCAAGGGAAATAACTTTACAAATACTGGATAAATCCACAAGCGAAACCCCAGGAACAAACTAAATATGCTGAGCAACTTTCCAATAAGGTTTAATGACTCTATGTCAAATCCTTTTTGAGTTACATGCGACACAAGTTGAAAATTGCAAACATTTTCTAAGTCAAGGGCAATAACTCTAAAAATACTAAATAAATCCTGACGAAAATACCCAGGTGCACAACTACACATGCTGATCAACATTCCTGTAAAGTATCATGACTCTAGGTCAAATACTTTTTGAGTTACATGCGACACAAGTTGAAAATTGCAAAATTTTACTAAGTCAAGGGCAATAACTTTAAAAATACTACAAATATCCGGACGAAAATACCCAGGTGCACAACTACACATACTGATCAACATTCCTGTAAAGTTTCATCACTCTAGGTCAAATACTTTTTGAGTTACATGCGACACAAGTTGAAAATTACAAAATTTTACTAAGTCAAGGGCAATAACTCTAAAAATACTAAAAATATCCAGACGAAAATACACAGGTGCACAACTTCACATGCTGATCAACATTCCCATAAAGTTTCGTTGAATTCCAGCCATTAGTTGCAGAGAACTACTCCGGAAACGAAATTCGGACAAAATTTTACTAAGTCAAGGGCAATAACTCTAAAAATACTAAAAATATCCAGTCGAAAATACCCAGGTGCACAACTTCACATGCTGATCAACATTCCCATAAAGTTTCGTTGAATTCCAGCCATTAGTTGCAGAGAACTACTCCGGAAACGAAATTCGGACGGACGGATGGACGGACGGACGGACGGACAACGCCAAAACTATATCCCCCTCCCGATTCCATCGGCGGGGGATAATAATCATATAAATAAAATAATCCAAATAAGATGTTTAACTATATGCTATTTTCTTTCAAATTATATTATTCTTAAATAAAGGCTGCTTTAAATTATATTAATTCAAATTGATATGTCACTCTCTCTCTAGAATCGATCACTCACTCGTAAATGCTTGTTGTAGTTGGATTAAAATGATTGCGGGGGAGTAGACAAATAGAACATTATGCGATTGGGAAAATAGTAGATTCCGATCAATGAGGTATTTACAATATCGAAAAATAGAGATGAGACCATGGTCTTGTGTTACGTCATTTCTTCCTGGGATATTCTACTTTCTACTTCCGGTTCGCGTGGTTCCAATATATGTCAAAATGGAGGACGATGTCTTGAGCGGAACGGTTAAAAAACCAAAAGAAGTCATTTACCCTATAAATAAAAGCTTTTAGATCTGAAGGAGAGTTACATTTTTATTTGTCTGCAAGAAAACGTTCAAAATGTGCATATTGTAAGTGAGTTTTCATGCTTCAAGTAGATATTTTGTCATGTAATAAACACTGATAAAGGTCATGGTCTTATCTTTACAAGGTGAGTTAGTCTAATGTATGACCATATCGCCCTCTTTTACCCTCACCTACTCGTTTTGTATTATTTTTTAGAAATATGCACCGGTGTAGGTTTAATTCTTAATTTATTGAACGAGTTGAATAAACCTATTTGCGAACCTCTTCCCCAAACCCATTGGAGCTGGAAGAAGAGACAATGCCATATCCTGATCAAAGGCCAATACCTCTTATCTTATATTAAAACTAAGTTGATATCCTGTAATCAAGTTTATAATCTGTAATTAAGTTCCTATGTAAAACAAGCAATTATCATAGTATTGCAAGCAATCCATAAGTCCCCTACCGGTAAGAGCCAAAGCAACATTTTGAAGGGCCATTGGCCATTCACTAAATAGGTTCCTATTTTAAGTAAATTTGTTGAAAAAGTTCTTTAAAAGTGATCACAGGAAACAGTTTTTATGTACAGACAGACGGACTGAAGGACACTCTAAAGTTATTTTTTAAACATCCCTGTTATCAAAATATAACATTTTTAAAATCCTATCATGATTGAAGAAGTTGGAGTAAAAATTACCAATTTCTCAAAAAAAAGTTTAAGTTAAAAAGGGGCATAATTCTGGAAATAGTCTTGCTAGAGTATTGAACACTCATAAATGTTGAGTGACAATAAGAAACATTTATATGAAGTTTGAAGTAGATACATTCAGAAAAAGAAGTTATTAAAGAAAACAATGATTTTTTCATGAAAATTTTAAGTTCAAGGGAGGTAATTCTGATAAATTTTGTGCTAGAGTTGTAAACCTTGTCACATATGATGTGGTTGATGACAAGCAACTTATATTTAAAGTTTGAAGAAAATACCTTAAGAACTAAAGAACTTATAGTGAAAAAACTTAAAAACTAGAATCAGAAATCTTGAAATTCAGTCTATTTGTTGCCATAGCATCCAGAATTTTCAACATAGGAAGATAAGAAAAGGATGTGCATAATTTCCATACTGCCATCTACCCATATGTCAAATTCATAAACATATTTTCAGTACTTTTTGTGTTATCACTGGATCCAGGTTATGTGTAAAATTTGCCATATTTTCAGTCTATTTGTTGCCATAGCAACCAGAATTTTCAACATAAGAAGAAAAGAAAAAGACGTGCATAATCTCCATACTGCCATCTATCCATATATCAAGTTTCATAAACATATTTTCAGTACTTTTTGCGTTATCGCGGGATCCAGGTTATGTGTAAAATTTGCCATATTTTCAGTGTATTTGTTGCCATAGCAACCAGAATTTTCAACATAGGAAGAAAAGAAAAAGACGTGCATAATCTCCATACTGCCATCTATCCATATATCAAGTTTCATTAAAATATTTTCAGTACTTTTTGCGTTATCGCGGGATCCAGTTTTGTGGACAGACGGACTGACGGACGGACGAACAGACGGACAGACAGACAGACAGATGGACGGTAAACCTAAAGTCCCCTCCGGTAAACCGGTAGGGGACTAAAAAGAACTTATAGTGAAAAAACTTAAAAACTAGAATCAGAAATCTTGATATTCAGTCTATTTGTTGCCATAGCAACCTGAATTTTCAACATAGGAAGATAAGAAAAAGGATGTGCATAATTTCCATACTGCCATCTACCCATATGTCAAGTTTTTCATAAACATATTAACAGTTCTTTTTGTGTTATCACTGGATCAAGGTTATGTGTAAAATTTGCCATATTTTCAGTCTATTTGTTGCCATAGCAACCAGAATTTTCAACATAAGAAGAAAAGAAAAAGATGTGCATAATCTCCATACTGCCATCTATCCATATATCAAGTTTCATAAAAAATATTTTCAGTACTTTTTGCGTTATCGCGGGATCCAGGTTATGTGTAAAATTTGCCATATTTTCAGTCTATTTGTTGCCATAGCAACCAGAATTTTCAACATAGGAAGAAAAGAAAAAGACGTGCATAATCTCCATACTGCCATCTATCCATATATCAAGTTTCATTAAAATATTTTCAGTACTTTTTGCGTTATCGCGGGATCCAGTTTTGTGGACAGACGGACTGACGGACGGACGGACAGACAGACAGACAGACGGACGGTAAACCTAAAGTCCCCTCCGGTAAACCGGTAGGGGACTAAAAAGAACTTATAGTGAAAAAACTTAAAAACTAGAATCAGAAATCTTGATATTCACTCTATTTGTTGCCATAGCAACCAGAATTTTCAACATAGGAAGAAAAGAAAAAGACGTGCATAATCTCCATACTGCCATCTATCCATATATCAAGTTTCATAAAAATATTTTCAGTACTTTTTGCGTTATTGCGGGATCCAGTTTTGTGGACGGACGGACGGACGGACTGACTGACGGACAGACGGACGGACGGACGGACAGACAGACGGACGGAGGGTAAACCTAAAGTCCCCTCCGGTAAACCGGTAGGGGACTAACAAGACTACTTTAAACTATTATTTTAACCTTTCCAACCCTAGTTTTAGAAATGGACTTGCCTGGCTTTGAAACTGGCACTCAGTCCATTGATCAGATAGGGATTTCTATATCAAACTTTTTATAAACAACACCACTTGAAACTATCAATTTAACCTTTCCAACCCTAGTTTAAGTAATGGACTTTTCTGGCTTTGAAACTGGCAATGTCAATTGATAAAAAAATATGGATTTTGATAACAAAACATTCCAAACTTTAGATAATTATATTCATTTGAAATGTACTAATAGAGTTTGTTAAAAATGAAGATTTCAAAATCAAAATTTTTTTAATTCAACTCTCTACCTTAATCAACTGTATTCATCTTTTCACCCCTGATTTTAGTAATGGAATTATCCTACTCTGAAATTAGCATTGTCCACTGATTGTCCATTTATAGAAATGGGGATTTCAACTTAAGAATTTTATAATTTGACAGCAATATATGCTATATTTCACTTTTAAAAGTTTATTATAACCTTTTTCCCATGCTTGGCCTTTAAACTTTGTCAGCTCTGAATTTTGGCACTTTACCAGGGCTCGAATTTAACACTTGCAAACTCGCAAAATGCTAGTTGAAAAATGATTTTGCGAGTTAGATTTATGTCAACTCGCAATTTTTTGCCAGTTAAAGAAAAATTTGAGAACGCTCTTCAGGAAAATGCGAAATATAAATATAATATTCGCAGGTAACCGAGTTATAAACTATGCACGCACTTGCTGTCTGGTTTACATTTTCTATACCTTAACCTCGCTTAAAAAAGTACACAAATTTAAACCAGTCCAAATGTAATTTTGTCCGTGTAAATCAAGCGTGATCGGAATAAAATGTCGAAACGAACTTCTTCCCACTTACTGAAGCAAATGTGTCTTCCGATAACAATACTCTGAGTACAGAAGATGATTCACAGTCTATTAAAAGAAAGACAATCAGACCTTCAGTTAAAACGGTTTAAAATTGGGAGAAAGAACTGCATGTCAGTCTTACGTACCTCCATTTGCTTGCTATAATCCAACTTTTCTATCTCCAACTTCAAATGAATCACTTCCTTCTTCAGATTCTCTACTTCAGTTTGCCATGTTTTCAAAGTATTCTTATCAATTTCAGTTCTTTCCATCTCTTCTCTTCTCCATTTCTTTATTTCAGATTCTTTTTCCAACCCCCTCTTTTCCAACTCTTTCTTCAGTCTGTTAACTTCATCTGTTTTCTGTTCAAGCTGTGCAGATTTATCACCAAGTTCTTTTTCTAACTTGACAATCTTTTCACAAGTTCGCTTCAGTTCTTTTTCCAATTCCTCGATTTTCTCCATATATTTCTTCATAACTGTCTTATGTTCTGACTTCAAACTTTCAATAACATGGTCCTTTTTTGTTAACACAGACTCTTTCTCCTTAAATGCTTGTTCTTTTTTACTTAAATACAACTCCTTATCAATAATCACTTTCTTCAATTTTTCAATCTCATTCACTTTTTCTTTGTCCAATTTTTCTAGATCATTCGACATTGTCTTCAACTCCAACTCAAACCTTTCCTTAGCTGCCTTCATCTTAGCACAATGTTCAGTCTCCAATCTCTGTACCATAAGTTTCTGTTCATTATCACAAGTTGCTCGTATATTATCTTTAAGTTTATTCTGTTCCTCGTTTAATTCTCGTACCAATTCTTCTTTAACATTCTTTATCTCCACCTCCTTTTGTTTGGCCCAGTTTTCTTCTGCCCTTAATACTGATAATACGGTTTCTTTCTTCATTGCATCTGTGACCTGATTTAAAAATAAAAGTATATTAATAATTATTGGTCCGGAACCATCCATTGGAAACTTATAGTGTATCTTCTAAGATTTCAAAAGATTTTCCCTGTTGCCTCTCAACCGAGGAATCATGGGTTTGTTTGTTTTGGGTTTTATGTCACATCGACACAGTATAGGTCATATCGCAACATTCCAGCTTTACTGGTGGACGAAGACCTCAGGTGCCCTTCCATGCATTATTTCAGGCACGCACAGGCACCTGAGTAAAACCATCGACTTTCCGTAAGCTAGCTGGATAGCTTCCTCACATGAAAGAATCCAAAGTCCCTGTCGGAATTTGAACCCACAGCGGAGAGGGGCAAGTGGTTTGAAGTCAATGACCTAAACCACTCGGCCAGGGACGCCACCAGGATCATGGGTTTGAGCCCTACTGAGGCCATAACTATGGTTCTTATGACACTAGGGCCCCGTGTTCTCAAACTAAAGATTAGGAAAGATCATAGAAAGTCCCAAGTGTATCCCAAGTCCTACGACTTATGACAAATTATATTTTCAATTTCAGTTGAAGTTTTATTTTCAAAATCTTTTATTTAATTCATTCTCCCGAGAAAAGTTACAAAATACAATTAGTAAACTCTATGGTTTATTCAAATGAGATTCAAACTTTCACAAAAATCAAGATAAAACAAGCAATTATCATAGTATTGCAAGCAATCCATCAGTCCCCTACCGGTTAGAACCCCATCAACATTCTGAAGGGCCATTGGCCATTCACTAATGTTTCAATTTTTCTCTATTTTAAGTAAATTTGTTGAAAAAGTTCTTTAAAAGTGATCATAGGAAACAGTTTTTATGAACAGACAGACAGACGGACTGAAGGACACTCTCAAGTTAATATTTGAAACATCCCTGTTACCAAAATATAACATTTTAAAAGCAAAATTCTTAAAGAGGAGATAACTCTTGAATTAAAGATGCAATTTCATAAAAATTTTCAGCTCTTTTTGACTAATCACAAATATTGTTATATTTGCCATGTTTTAAGCCAATTTGTTGCCAAGGCAACTGATATTTTTTCAAAATAGGAAGAACAGATAAGACATGCATAATCTCAAGACTGCTATTTACCCATATGTCAAGTTTCATAAAAATATTTCCAGTACTTTTTGAGTTAAAACTGGATTCAGTTTATGTGTAAAATTTGCCATATTTTCAGTCTATGTGTTGCCATAGCAACCAGAATGTTCAACATAGGAAGAAAAGAAAAAGACGTGCATAATCTGAAGACTACCATCTACCCATATGTCAAGTTTCATAAAGATATTTCCAGTACTTTTTGTGTTATCACTGGATCCAGTTTATGTGTAAAATTTGCCATATTTTCCGCCTATATGTTGCCATAGCAACCAGAAATTTCAAAATAGAAAGAACAGAAAAAGACGTGCATAATCTCCATACTGCCATCTATCCATATACCAAGTTTCATAAAGATATTTCCAGTACTTTTCAAGTTATCGCGGGATCCAGTTTTGTGGACGGACGGACTGACGGACTGACAGACGGATGGACTGACGGACGGACAGACGGACGGAGGGTAAACCTAAAGTCCCCTCCGGTAAACCGGTAGGGGACTAATAAGATCATATCCTGTTATGAAGGTCATGGTCTCTTATTAACCAATGTATTATAAGACTGTATCTTGTTTTAAAGGAACAGTCTCTTATATACTATACATATACCTATCGAAGAGACCAAATCCTGTTATAAATGTCAAGGTCTTTTATGAACGTTATATAACATAAGACAATATCGTATATCAAAGGCCATGGTCTCACGTTGACCTATTTAAAATAATATCCTATCCATTTTTGTGTCGCCTCTACGTAGAACTTACTTCTGAAGTGGCGACATATAGGGATCATTTTTCCGTCGTCTGTCTGTCCATCCGTATGTCTGTCCGTACAAACTCAGGATGTGTCATTATGATTGTCAGCAAGGCCAAGATCATTCTTAGACATCAATTCTTACAATCAGGTCTTCCATTTTTTATGTCATGTCTTTCATGCATGGGATATTCCCAAATCATTGGCACAAATCGTTATTTTCTTATTTCTCAATAATTCAAGCAATATTGAATGTACTTGATGATGATGTTTTGGTTTGAGACTAAGTGTATTTTTTTTCACCAAATATTCTGCGAAATTCGACCCCATTTCCCCTCAAAATAGTGTGTTTTCCCCTCTCAAAGCCGAAATTTCCCCCTATACGGTAGCCCGATTTTGCCCGCAATGAATTCAATTTTATGTAACTATTAAACCGCCGTTTAATGTTTTATTTTATGTGTAACTATTAAGCAAGGTTGTTTACAAATCGTTTATTATCACCCACCGAAGGAATCAGAAGGGGATACTGTTTAGGCTTTGTCTGTCCGACCATCTGTCTGTCCGTTCATCCGAATTTTGTTAACCAGCACATAGATCATGGTGTAATTGTTTAGGAAATACAGTTCTGTGATATTATTGGCTTACTTTTTGTAGTGTAAAAAACACTTACTTCGGTAAGAGTTCTAGGTTCAAGTCCTAGCAAGGAGCCCTAACACACAGAACTCTACCAAATGTTAAGACATACCACTATTTGTCTAAAATTGTCATAGGTTCAATTTTCTTTAAATTCTATTTTGGCAGTCTTCCTGTCTAGATTGTCTAGGAGATGGCGGTCCTGACATTTTCATTTGTGATGGGACCTCTCTTTTTAAAGAAGAATGTGGACTTGGAAGAATTCGGAATTGCCAAAAGGCAGTGGCCCAAAAGGGAAAATCTAAGTATAAATATTTTTGATAACACCTGCTTCTTGATAAAAATTTACAATACATTTCTTTGAAATAACAGTTGATAAGAAGACACAAATCAGGATCACAAAAGCTTGATAGGCCACATGAACAAAAGAAAACAGCAATAACATATGGACTAATTTCGAACACGGCAAAATTGTAAAATGATGCAGGCTCGGTTTAATTGAGCCTGTTCATGGACGGTAATGGAAAATGCAAGTTACCGTCTACGCCCCCTAGCACCGGCTTAAGCAGAATTCAACATTTAACACGAAAATGGTGAAATTTTGAATTTAGAAACATCCGCAGATGTTTTCATACGACGGTTATCAATGAATCTTCAATGTGACACAGTAGTGCCATTCCATGAAATGCGGCGTATGGTCCCCAAGTAAAAGAATGCTTTTGCCCTAAACGAGAAAACAATGGAACCGAGTCTGAAATTTTTATGTTGTTTGTTGTGATTAATGATTCCGAGGGATCACTTTGTTTCCAGAATTTTAAACATGCATACCCGGTGGAATACGCCGAAAATGGCCCTTGAAAGGGGTAGGGTCTGAAAGTTTAATACCATGCTCTACAATAGTGGTACATCCAAGATCTGCTTTGCATTTAAGGAGGCATGAAATCAACTGTTTGAGTATCCTGAACATATTTTGCTTGAATCAATCAGGAGGAGTCTGAAGGGTTAAAGCCGGTACATTTCTTTTAAATCTTAGAGAGGATGCTTCTGTTCAGAATATTTTGTTTGAATGGAAGGGTATTTATGGTAATGTCTCCAGTGGTATGATGTAGGAGGTGTAGTTGTGAGTGGCAAACATACTACGTTATGTAGCAAAACAGGAATTGTTTCGTCTATTTAAGGAATTCCCCATCACTGATGCTGTTTCTGAAATCTATAGCTGCCACCAAATAATATATGATAAACAAGATCAACAAGGAAAGGCGGCGTTCAATGAACGCAACCCCCATATGACCCAGCAACCAAAATTCAGAAATTTGTCTTCATTTTCACCTGTCTGTGCATACATTCACCCAAATGATACAGTATACTCATTGATGAAAGTCCTGTCCGTGCTCTGTCTTTGCCCTGTCCTGTTTTTGTTTGGGGTCCGCCTGGGCTCCTCGTCATTGGTTCTTGTTACTGGGACATATGGGGGTTGCGTTCATTGAACGCCGCCTTTCCTTGTTGATCTTGTTTATCATATTTGATATCTGGAATATTTAACCAAATGGAAGCTACTGCACCAGCATCTTCCAATACTTCATGAGATCATGGAACAATGCAGCACTTCCCACATTCCAGAAAAAAATGATGTATCTAATACATGAATTGCTGGATATTTCAGTATATCCATTTGCAAATTTATTCCAGGAAAATTATGTTGACACAGAGGTGCAGAACAATGCGGGACGTTCCCATCTTTGCTTACATGTAGAGCTAGAGGCGTTTACTATATGGATTCTTCTAGATCAAAAAATATGATAAACAAGATCAACAAGGAAAGGCGGCGTTCAATGAACGCAACCCCCACATGACCCAGCAACAAGAACCAATGGCAAGGAGCCCAGGGGGACCCCAAACAAAAACCTGCCTGTGGGAAAATGATAGAAAGTATGTCTAAAATATGATAAACAAGATCAACAAGGAAATACGGCGTTTAATGAACGCAACCCAACACGACCCAGCAACAAAACCAGTGGCAAGGATCCCCGATACATACAAAAACGGGAACAAAACCAGTGGCAATGATCCCCGATTAGAGCTGTCATCGATATCGACAATATCGATGTATCATTGATATTTTTTTGCCGATCAATAATCGATACACATTCTAAAAAATCGATACTTTTGACTAATAAATTAAATGTCTAGAAATTATTAAATTCACCCAAAATATATACAGAAGCAGTTATTTATATCTAATGTTATGCTTTTGTTATATAGTTGAATTATTTCATAGCAATGGTGACAAAAAATATTTTCTAGAAAAAATCATGCAGTGGACAAGACACTGTACAGAACATGTTTTTGACTGAAATCATTGAAACAGGTATGAAAGTGAATGACAGACAAGTGAGTATAGGATATTATCGATATATCGGTGTATCATTGATTTTAGTCACTTGATATCGATATATCGTTGATATGCTTTGCACTGAATCAATG